GAAGTTCAGATCCCTGAACCCATGCAAAGCCTGACTTGGTACCACATCTGTAATCCCCACACTCCTTTGGTAAGAGAGGCTGAGAAAGGAGAATTGCTAAAGTTGGTAGACCAGCTAGCCTGGCATATAAAGAAGAAAAAAAAATTGCTGCAAACAAGATGACTGTCTGATATCCAGGGTTGCTCTTGGACCTACAAGCACGTGGGGATGGGGCAGAGAGGGGGGAGACACACATACACATTTAAAAAAGGTAGAGAGCAAATAACTTATAACATACAAGTAATTTATAGCCTGCACTGCAGGTGGTGGCACACATCTTTAATCCCAATGCTCAGGAGGCAGAGGCAGTTAGATCTGAGTTCAAGGCTGGCCTGGTCTACAGAGTGAGTGCCAGGACTATTCAGGGAAACCCTGTTTCGAAAAGAAAAGAAAAAACTTACAAAATTATATGCTGGATACATATATATTTATAAAAACTCAAACTTCATAGTGACAGTTATTTTTGGCATGGCACAGAGGACCATGGGATCAGAGAGGAGTAAACGTTAATTTTAATTTTGTAGAAATTTATCTAAAGAAAATACAGTATTAAGATAGTTTGAATTTTTCTTAACTTATAATTTGTCCATAGGTCCTATTTATTCACTTTTTTGGGGACTCTATTATAAAATTAGAGGTATTTAGATGGATAGGAAACTATGGATTCAGACCATTTCTAGGTTTTCTAAGTAGTAAACAGTTGTTGCAGTGAATTTTTTCTTTCTTTTTTGATTTTGGTTTTACGAGACAGGGTTTCTCTGTATTGTTTTGGAGGCTATCGGTCTAGCCCAGCCTCGAACTCACAGAGATCCGCCTGCCTCTGCCTCCCGAGTGCTGGGATCAAAGGCGTGCGCCACCAACGCCCGGCTTTTCTTTCTTTTTTTGAGACAAGGCTTCACTATGTAGCAATGGCTGGCCTGGAACTTGCTATGTAGTCCAGGCTGACCTTGTATTCATACTCTTCTTGAGTGCTGGGATTAAAAGAGTGGGCCACCAAGCTCAGCCTTTTATAATGTTCTTAAACAATACCATTTATTTGTGTGTGTAGGTGTGTGAGTGGCACATGAAGGTCAGATCTTGTAGGAGTTGGTGCTCTGCTCCCACTACATGGACCTCAGGGATGGAACTCAGGCTAGGTTTGGTGGCAAATGCCTTCACTCACTGAGCCATCTTTCCAGTCCTCAGTTAACATTCTTGTAGGGATAATCTCCAGGAAAAGTGTGTTTCTACAGCCATTATCTTTAAAGTGGGGATATATGGATCTTCAAGAAATGTATAGTGTCATGCTTTTAAAGGTCAGTGTACCACAAAACTATAAATATATTTGACTAAAGATCATTGGACCTAGAAGCTGCTGGGGTGTGGCATTATAAAAGCTATATATACTAGATTACTTTTCAATCCTATAGACAACCATACTTCCAAAATTTGTAAACTAGTGTTATTATCCCCATTTCACAGTTGAGGGATTAAGACACAGAAATTAAGTAACAAAAGGAATAATCAGGGATGAAGGTTTAGCTCAGGGCCACAGCAAGTGTCTAGCATGCCCTGGATTTCATCAGCAGCACTGCTGTGAGCACCAAAGGTCAACGTGTTAATAGTTTTGAGTGCTTACTGTGGCAGACACTTGGCTAAATGTTTGTCATTCTCATTTATTCTCCACCAAATCTGAGTACCGTTATTTTCTTCACTTCCCAGATGCAGACTGAAGCTTAGTGAAATAAAACTTCTTTGGACACAAAACTATCAAGCATGACGAGAAAGGACTTAAAAATAAGTCAGTCTAGCTGGGTGGTGGTGCTGCAAGCTTTCAATTCCAGCACTTGGGAGACAGAGGCAGGTGGATCTCTGAATTTGAGGCTAGCCTGGTCTACAGAGCTAATTCCAGGACAGCTAGGGCTACACAGAGTAACCTGTCTTGAAAAAAATCAAAACCAAAACCAAGAAAGAAAAAAGTCAGTCAGTCCTACCACGAGTATGTAGGACCATTTGATGATTACATTATCTGTACAAGTTGAAGGGGCTGGAGAAATGATTCAGTAGTTAAGAGCACATACTACCCTTCCTGAGGATCTGAGTTTGATTCTCAGGAGGCTCGTAACCATCTATAACTTCAGCTCCAGGAGGATCAGATACTCTGGCTTCTATGTTCCCCGGGCTACACAAACACAATTAAAAAAATAAATTACCTTTGGAAGAAAAAAAAAACCCCAAGTTGATAACAATAGTCCTTTCTTCTCTCAGAAGCTAAGAATACAGATCTATGTATCTTTGGTATTACAGAAAAAGATTTTTAAAAATGTAAAATCAATGTAGTTGTTTACTCTTTTGGCTCTTTTATTCTTTTGGGGGGCCTGCCACTCAGCTCCCAAATAAACACACAAAGGCTTATTCTTTCTTTTTTTTTTTTTTTGGTTTTACGAGACAGGGTTTCTCTTTATTGTTTTGGAGGCTGTCGGTCCAGCCCGGCCTCAAACCCACAGAGATCTGCCTGCCTCTGCCTCCCGAGTGCTGGGATCAAAGGCGTGCGCCACCACCGCCTGGCAGGCTTATTCTTTCTTATAAATGCCCAACCTTAGCATGGCTTGTTTCTAGCCAGCTTTTCTTTTCTTTATTTGGAGTCTTTTTTTGATGTTTTTATTTAAATTAGAAACATGCATGCTTTAAATGTCAATCCCAGCTCCCTCTCCCACCCTTCCTCCCTTGTCCCTCCACCAGGCCCCCGCCAGCTTTTCTTAACTTAAATTATCCCGTCTACCTTTTGCCTCTGGGCTTTTATCTTTCTCTACTCTATATACCTCTCTTTCCTTCTTAACTCTGTTGCTGGTTGTATACCTGGGTGGGCTGGCCCCTGATGTCCCCCTTTCCTTACTCCCTGATTTTCTCCTCTTTATTCTTTATGCTTGACAGTCCCTATCCCTCTCCTGCCTGGCTACTGGTCATTCAGCTCTTTATTAGATCAATCAGGTGTTTTAGACAGGCAAAGTAAAACAGGTTTACAGAGTTAAACAAATGCAACACATCTTTGCATCATTAAACAAATGTTCCAAAGCAGCCGGGCGGTGGTGGCGCACGCCTTTGATCCCAGCACTCGGGAGGCAGAGGCAGGCGGATCTCTGTGAGTTCGAGGCCGGGCTGGACCGACAACCTCAAAAACAATACAGAGAAACCCTGTCTTGTAAAACCAAAAAAAAAAAAAAAAGTTCCACAGCATAAACAAATGACACATCTTGAAATAATATTCTATAACAGATCATCTTGCTCTCTTGCTTAAAACCCTCTTTACTACACCTAGCATAAAAATCCAAATTCTTTACTTACAAGTCCCTTTACCCCTCCCACCAGAATGTGCTAATCTTAGATATACAGAGAGCTCTCAGGATCTTTACATAGCTAGCCACTTTTGCCATATAGTTATCCATTTAAACACCTTAGTTTCCCCCTAATCACCTAGTTCAGGTCTCTGTCACTCTGTTTTCCAAGTATTGTTTTATGTACTAGAACATTTCTGCATTTATGCTGACTTTTTTTCAAACCCTTTTTTCATTTATGAGATTTTGCCTACATGATTCTATGTGTACCACATGTGTGTTTGATGTCCATATAAGCCAAAAGGCATCAAATCCGCTGGATCTGCAATTACAGATGGTTGTGAGCCATCCTGTGGATGCTGGGAAGTAAATCTAGGTCCTCTGAATAAACGGAAATTTTTTGTTTTGTTTTTTTTGAGACAAGGTTTCTCTGTGTAGCCTTGGCTGTCCTGGAACTCACTCTGTGGGCCAGGCTGGCCTCGAACTCACAGAGATCCACCTGCCTCTGCCTCCCCCAAGTGCTAGGATTAAAGGTGTGCACCACCTATGCCTGGCTGGAAAATAGTTATTACTGTCTTGAAGCTAGGCGATTATTTAAACTTTCAGAGCTTACTTGCCTCACTTGTAAAGTGAAGATTAAAACTTCTTTTACAGGCCGAGGATGTGAAGTCCTGAGTTCTAGGCCCAGCACCACCAAACAACAAGCTGGGAAAAACATCACATTATTTACAGCCTTGCCTGGTAATTGTCTGAGGTAATGTAAGCCCCCTGCAGAGAACTCTAGCAGGCACTTGCTTTATTCCTTCCCATACTTACATGACCTCATTTTATTTCCACAGCCTTCTACAGTGCTTCTCATCGTACAGATGACAGACTCAAGGATTGAGACATAAGTTCTAAAAAGGCAACGAGAAGCCAATGGGCATGTTTTATAAGCGGAGGAGTGACACGACATGTACCTTTTGAAGATTAATCTGTCAGTGGCCAATAAACTGGGCTTGTCGAAACTAGAGACATACTAGTTTGACTACTGGCATAAAAATAATTTTAAGGTGGTAAGAGGCCCCAGTAGGCAACAGAGGAGTGTTTAGCAGTAGGCCTGGTAAAATCGTGGGCAGTCCCTGCATTTATGCACAACCACTGGTATGCACCTGAGCCTCCATCCCCTCCTCCTTGTAGAACCACTGCAAATTCTTGGTCTGGAAATCGCTCTGTAGCCCAGACTGACCTCCAGTTTCACAACCTGTTACCTCAGCCTCCCTAGTACAAGGATTATAGGCGTGTACCACCCCACCCAGCCCTTTGCAGGTCTCCCTTGACTTCACCCCCGCCCAAAGCATCGCGACCCGGGCCGGAGTGGCAAATTCCTCCAGAGTTCGTTCCTCTTTGGGAACAGCCTAGAGGGGTAGGGTCGGGATGGAAGGCAGTTAGAGTCCGAGGTCTGGAACTTCCAGAACTCTAGCTAGGCAATCTTCCAGCCCTGGAAAACAGAGACCTCTTTTCATTTCCCTCCCGTCCTGATCTGCACAGCGAAGCGGCTCCAGGAGAGGCCGTACGCGGACGGAGCTCCCAGAGAGTAGGCCGACAGCGCGCCGCCCCACGTGTAGATGACGTCACTTCCGGCGCACTGACGCCGAGTCCGGCGTCCCGACGTTTGCGTCAGCGGAGAGCGGGGCTGGGGGCACCGGGTTTGAAGTGCTGCGGGTCAGAGCGGCGCCGCCTCCGCCCGTGTGAAGGACCCCGGCCGCGTTGGAGACGAGCTCCGGTGGGCGGCCCATGCCCGAAGGCCCGTGCCGGCCGCTACACGCCGCGCCACCTGCTGCCCTGCGCCCGACGGCCTGGGCCTGCGCCGCTCTGCTCGGGAAACGAGCGCCCCAGCGGTGCGGCGTGTAGCTCCCCGGGAGTTCCGAACCGCCGGCGCCGGCCATGGCGGTCTCCAGGTGGGTGTCGCCGCCGGCCAGCTAACGGGGAGCGCGCGTGGGCACGGCTGTCGGCTCCCGGCGCCTCAGCGCCGGCCAGCAACGCTGCCTCTGCCTCGTCTGGACTTCCGAGTTCGCCCCTCGGCTGGCGGGCGCTTTGGGCTCGGGTTACTCGGAGAAATGGCTCAAGAAAGGCTTTTCCTCGTTCAGTGTGACTCCTTCGAGCTGGCTTTTTTCCTTTTTTCTTCACCACGTTTCTCTTCTGTGGTTTCTCTTCCCTCTTTGAATTGTAGGCGAGTCTCTTTTCTTTCTTCAATCTAAGTCTGATCCCTAACCACCATTTCACGGCAAAACTTGGTGGTTAACTGTCGAAAAAGGGGGAGGTTGAAACACTGTTATCCAAGAGACCATCTGGTTATACTAAATTTAAAACATTTACAGCGTTAAGGGTATAGCCTTTCTCAGTCTTTCTTAAGGTATAGTTCCTCCTTTTGTTCGGCACTAAGCATTCCGTCATCAGCGTGTAGTCTTAAATAGATGACTATTTTAGCATTCTCCCCCTCCAAGAGATATAGATCTTAAATTATTGTAAATTGTGCCTACTGTGGGAGAGTCCAAGAAATTTTACAGAAAAACTTACAAGCATTTAACTTGTATAGCTTCTGGTAATAGAACGGGCTGGGAAACTTGGAAAATGATTTTGGTGTCCCGTTGACATTTAAGCAGAGGTTAGGTAGGCTCTGTGTTTAGTCAGAGTTGCCAAGTTGTTTAGGGGTGATGAGGTAACTTAAATGAGAATTGAGTCCTTTCGCCATATGTACTGAAGGAGATAAATGATGAAAATAAACAGCTTTCACTCCTTTTCGCAATTAGTTGAACACATTCCTTTGAGTACAGTATGTGCTGAAGTTTTCTCTTATAACAAAAGACTAACCCATCCCTCACAAACTCCCCAGGTAACTGATGAAATAGTCTGTGGGAGAAGCCCATGGGAGTTGAGTGAAGGGGGTTGCTAGGTACCAGTATACGGGACATCTAGTTTTTATTTCATAAGCAGATTCATCCATTCTGTGGGAGAAAGATTTTTGTTTCAGCACCTATAAAACTGCTTTAAGAGAATACAAGTGGCATTTCTTTTTTTCTGCAAGTACAGATTACTTTCTGTGTAAATGGGAAAAGAAATATGTTGCTACATAAACAATATGACACTCCCCCCCCCCCCCAGGGGTCTCATGTAGCCCAGGCTATCCTCAAACTAAGAAGGATCCACCTTCCTCTGGTTCTGGGACTAGAGTTGTGTTTGTTGCTTTGCCTTATCCCTTTCTAGTTTAAGGGAATTGTGGCTTCCTTACTTCCTTTCATAAAGTTGGTGTATATTTGTACAATGTTGGAAAGCTTTATAGAGACAAAATGACAGTGCTTAAAAAGACTCATCTTTTTTGCTTAAGACTAATCTATTGACCCACGTTTAGGACACCCAATTTTTGAAAGACTGAGTAGGCTTTGAAGGCTTTTTGTTCTCATTGTTTGGTTTCACAGAGTAGTGCTTTCTGTTATTCCTTTTTTTTCCTATTCACTGCCAAAATTAAAGTCAGTCACATATAATAAAAGCTGCTCTGTGTTTGGCTTACTAATGTCAGTTCAAGCAAACACTTTAGGATACCTTGTTTGTGTGTGTATTTGGGGTATTGAACTTTTAAAAATATTTGTGGATTCAATTTGAAAGTCAAACTTTGTAGTTTCAGGTATGACCTCATGCATTCAGCATATGTCTGTGCTGAACATTTAAGCTTCATTTTTCTCTTGTTGGCGTTGTGGAAGTGGAGGCTCATTTAAGTACTTTTATGTAAAATAGGCAGAAGATAGTTTGAGAAATGGAAATTATATGCCAGAATTGAATTAAAAATATTTTTGCAGTTAGTGTCAACGTGTATAACTATAGAGGAACCTTATGTTTTAAAGATTTTATTTAAACATTTCTAACAGGAAATAAATTGGTACTGTTGTTCCTTCCTCTATCAGGAAATCTGGAATAATCTTTGACTTTTCTGTCTTTTCCATTCCTTCTATCCTGCCAGTCATTAAATCCACCATGCCCTGCCTGCCTTTTTAAACTTCCTGCAGCCAGTCTTTCCTATTATTGTCACCGTCATTTATGCTCTATCATCTAGTCCAAGACATCTGCAACAGCAACACCTTCATTTTTTTTCTTTAGAAAAGGGGTTTTCTTTTGGTTCCTTTTGAGGGTAAAGTTGATCATGGTGGGGAAGGCTTATGGCCACGCTGAATCCACAGTTAGGAAGCAAACAGAAATGCATCTCTCTTTTATCCTTCCTTTCTATTTTTTTTGAAAGGCATCTCTTTAAACAATATTTTTTGTGAGTGATGTTTGTGTGAGTGTACATGTGGAGGGCAGAGACAACTTTTGGAGTCAGTTTTCTCTTTCAGCCTTGAGTCTCGGATAGAGCGGCCGTTTGAGGCCCACCTGTCAAATGCTGTCACCTTTCCTTGTTCTTGCTCCCACTGGTATCTAATTTATTTATCACCTCAGATGTGTTATTTGCTAATATGCAAATTTTAATGCTATTATTTTTCTGCTTAAAACTTGCTAGCTTTCTGTTGCATATCAGAAGAGGGCACCAGATCTCATTACAGATGGTTGTGAGCCACCATGTGGTTGCTGGGAATTGAACTCAGGACCTCTGGAAGAGCAGTCAGTACTCTTAACCTCTGAGCCATCTCTCCAACGCCTCTTGCTTCATTTTTGCATTGTGCTCTCTGCACTTACATCCCTCCCTCACTTTTGTTTTCCTTCCCCAGAATGTTTTTACCTCCCATTCTTTATTTCTGGGACCATCTCAAGTCTTTCTCATCACAGTCTTAGTTGTACCTCAGTGCTTACATGTATCACTTTGTTCAGGAAGCCTTCTTCCTGAGTTTTACTTTACTTATGCTATTTAGGGTTTCTTCTTTCTTTTAGGAGACAGGGATCTCAATGTAGTGCCCAAGCTGTTCTCATTTCCGTTTCCTGTAACAGACCACAGGCATGTGCCACTTTCTTAGTGTTTCCTACCTAGTTCAGCTATAGGTTTTTGTTGCTTGGTTATACTGGGGACTTAGAATACCATGCAAATAATTTACCACTAAATTACAACTGAATTTCAGTACCCCAGGCTGGGCTGCAACTAGCTATCAGCCTGTCCCTTCCTCTGGAGAGCTAGGTTTATAGTGCACTAACAGGACAGGTCAGACACCTAGCTATGCTTTTTTTGTTGTTTCTGGGAAGAAACACATTTACTTTAGCTTTGCATATTTATAAGTGTATTATATATGCTTATAAAAGTATAAAGGTCATAGTTTAAAATATTTTATTAGTTTTAATTATGTTATGTTTGTGCCTCTATGTGGGATATGTGTATGTGAGTACAGGTGACCTTGGAGGCCATAGGCATCAAATTCCCTGGAACTGGAGCTACAGTTTATTGTGAGTGTATTGACATGAGTGCTGGCTATTCCACTCAGGTCATCTGGGAGAACAGGAAAGTGCTTTACAAAAGAGATCTATTTATTTTATGTGAGTGCTTTATCTGCATGTACACCTCCATGCCAGAAGAGGGCATCAGATCCCATTATAGTTGGTTGTGAGAGCTACCTTGTGGTTGCTGGAAATTGAACTCAGGACCTTTGGAAGAGGAGCCAGTGCTCTAAACTGCAGAACCCAGGATCATGTTTTTAAAAATAAATCATCAAGCTGGGTGGTGGTGGCGTACACCTTTACTCCCAGCACTTGAGATGCAGAGGCAGGCCATCCTGGTCTCCAGAGTGAGTTCCAGGACAGCAAGGACAACAACACAACAAACAAACAAAAACCATCTTAATAGTATTAAACAAGTCCTGTTATAACATGGCTTTTTAATGATGAAAACTGTATATAATCTAACCCTACATTTTATATGATCAAAAAAATTTTTTTTGGTTTTTACGAGACAGGGTTTCTCTGTATTGTTTTGGAGGCTATCGGTCCAGCCCGGCCTCGAACTCACAGAGATCTGCCTGCCTCTGCCTCCCGAGTGCTGGGATCAAAGGCGTGCGTCACCACCGCCCGGCATGATCAAAAATTTTGATTCTGCTTGTATTGTTATAAGGATTGGCTTTATTGTAGTTAGACTGTGGCAAGGTGTGAGCTTTTCATCTGTGGATGAGGATATGAATTTTATATAAATAACTGAGTCTTTAAGATTGCAAACTCAGAGTGAAATTCTCTGTAAAATTCAGTAAGATATCATTGGAAAATAGTTTCTCTTTTAGGTGCTTGCAAGAGAGAATATATATGTCAGAATTTAAAAGTTTAATTGCTATTAAAATGTGTATTGTGGAAAGTCAGCTAAACTAACTTACTATGTGATTTTTCTCCCATAAACTTTTACCCCCCCCAACCAAAGTACTTGTTAAGAGCTTGTGGTGTTGCTTGCAAATAGTTCTACTTGCTTGGGGAGGGAGAGGGAACTGGGATTGACATGTAAAACAAGCTATTTAAAATTAAAATAAAAAATGATTTAAAAAATAGTTCTACTTGCTAAATCTTTGAATTCCATCTTCTTGCTTTGTGAAACACTGTTATCTCTTTTACTTAGTGGGAATTAAAACAGAAAAGGCTACCTTGGTAGGTTTTTGTTAAGGCTTATTCACTGGTAGTGATTCTGTAACTGTTAGGTTCTAAGTTTAACCTAGATTTGCCTTTCTTTGTGGTTGGGTCTTGCTTATGTAGCCAAAGCCAAAGTCCAGTTGGTGGCCCTCTTCTCTCAACCTCCTGACTGCTGGACTTACAGGCATGCACACCCATGCCCCGCTTGTATGTAGGTTAGAAAATATTGTATGTTTTACAAAAGAGATTTATTTATTTTCTGTGAGTTCTGTTTTTGTTATTTTTTTCTCGGATTTACAAATAAAAGCTAATGTCTTAAGTATTTTGGAGCTGGGCCTTGGTGGCACATGCCTTTAATCCCAGCACTTGGGAGGTA